GTCTCAATGAGATTTGAATAAAGATATTATTATTATTACCTCTTAGAATGAATAATACAACAGAATCTGTGTACAATCAGGTAAATCCAAGTAATTATTCAAAAACGCTTTTTCTTTTTAAGAGGTAGAAATCCTTTAACAGAATAATTAGAGTCCATTACATCATTCTCTCTTTATATTTTACAGCTTCTGACAACAAAACTGAGTTTAATAGAAGGTCAAGATCCAGGCTTTATAGAAACACAACTGTCCGTACCACTGAAGTATATGTGTAGCCAAGACCAGGAATGTCAGATACAAGTTGGCGTCATCTTGCCAGAGGAAGATGAGCTCCAGTGCTCGGACTCTCAATATTATTACCAGACGGTCTTTTTATCAACTGATGAGACACAAACTTGTCTGAAAAAGATCTCAGATTATCCAGACACTTTGAAATTAGAATTGAAAGCAAGTATTGATGGTCTGGTTGATGGGACTACAAGAAGTCAAGTGATGATTGGTGCTAGAGTGACTGCTGGAGAAGAAGTGGTCTATAATGATACAATTGGTTCCACTTCAGTAAGTGTAACACTTATTTTGGGAAAAGACTGTGAAAGCACAATTTAAATAACTGGTCTTAAGACATTATTAAAGTATTGCCATGGGATACATGGAAACAATGGTTTATTCTCACTAGCGTATTTAGGGGTAGGACCATTGGACCATGGCTTCCCTCTTGGGTCTGTGATATTTTGATGTTAAGATTAAGCCCTCTAAATGCTCAAAATTCATCTCAAACCATTTGGGGGGCGGGCTCTGGCCTTGTCTTGGAAATTTTCATTTTTTGCCCCACCTCAGGCATTTTCTAGATACATTTTTGGTTATGCTTTTTAATAAGTATTTATGGTATATTGAGTTGACAAATCCAGTTGACTAGTGGCATCAGGTTTCTCACAATAGTGAGCATGATTGTTATAAGAATTTTACATGTTTACAATCAGACATTTCTTGTTTTTTGTTTGTTTGTAAGGGTATAGGCTAACACGTAAAGAATTTTCTAGAATATATCGTATTTTTTAGATCAGTATTAAAGATAGAGATACCATTGCTCTTTGTGGCTCATTGATCCATCCTCATATGACAACGTTTGATGGCACAACATATAATGTATTTAGAGAAGGGGAATTTGTTTTATATAAACATACTACCATGCCTTATGAAGTAAGTAATATTGGACTTAGTTTAATGGAATTCATACATTCCTATGCCAGCTTTTGGCCTGGCTATAACAATAAGGAAATCCCCTGTCTAATTTCTTTGGC